TCATGCTGCCTCCAGTGGGGTGCCCAGGCACCCTCTTTTGTGACTTGCTGAGCATTGTTCCGCCTGACGTCTTCGAAGAGCCTGCTTGTTTCTCCAATCGCATCGCATGTGCCTAAGGTTTCGCTCTTGGCTACCAAGCCCGATCAGGCCATATGTGCTATCAGCGTTGAAGGGGCCAGTTGCTCCTCATGATGCCCGCGGTTGGCAGAATTTCCCCCCGGTGCCCGCGCAAGCTCCCACTTCGGGGTCCAGAGCGGTGCTCCCTCCGCGGCGCTTGCCGACGTAGTGAACTCGATCGCGGTGCCCCTTTTTCGGCTCCGCCTGCGTCCCCAGCCCAGACTTGTACTGCCGCCTCAGCGTTGGCCGCACCTCCAGCTCAGAACATTGTGCCTGCCTTCGCGCCGGCCACGCTCCTGGCCTGAAATGGCACTCCAACCGCAGTGCTGACAACAGTCTTCGGTTAGAACTAGTAGTAGTGGTAGTAGTAGTAGTAGTAGTAGTAGTAGTAGTAGTAGTAGTAGTAGTAGTAGTAGTAGTAGTAGTAGTAGTAGTAGTAGTAGTAGTAGTAGTAGTAGTAGTAGTAGTAGTAGTAGTAGTAGTAGTAGTAGTAGTAGTAGTAGTAGTAGTAGTAGTAGTAGTAGTAGTAGTAGTAGTAGTAGTAGTAGTAGTAGTAGTAGTAGTAGTAGTAGTAGTAGTAGTAGTAGTCGTAGTAGTAATAGTAGTAGTAGTAGTCGTCGTCGTCGTCGTCGTCGTCGTAGTAGTAGTAGTAGTAGTAGTAGTAGTAGTAGTAGTAGTAGTCGTAGAAGTAGTAGTAGTAGAGGTAGTAGTAGTAGCAGTAGTAGTAGTAGCAGTAGTAGTAGTAGTAGTAGTAGTAGTAGTAGTAGTAGTAGTAGTAATAGTAGTAGCAGTAGTAGTTGTAGTACCAGGCAACACATCTGTTGGCGACCCCATGCCGTTTGTACATTTTCAATTATGATAAGCCGTGGTTCCAACACCAGCAGCAGTATCGGTAGCGGTCGCAGCAGCTGCAATCTCAGCAGCGGCGGTAGCAGCAGTTCTGACGGCAACCCGTCATGGGCGCCCCGAGGGGATTGGGCTCCTACCTCAAGCAGTAATGAGGCCCTGCGATTAATTCTTGGCCCGAGGGCCAACATTTGTATTAACATACACTTTACAACAACTGCAGAGACATACGCTTTCGGGGTCCGCGCGGATTTCTGGGATCGGCGCTGGGTTCCGCGCATCTCTGGCGCGCTCCGCGCGCCAGGGGCGGCGCCGGAGGCGCCGCCAGGGGTGCCCGCGCGCTGATCCGAGAAACCCGGAGGAAACATGGCGTGTTTGTGTATGCCAGTTTCTGTTCTTCGATAAGTCAAGTCTTGCTCCCCAAACCCATCCCCCTTTTCCTCACTCTGAGCCTCCGTTCCAGACCGTGCGCGAGCAGTCCCACAAGAAGGTGGTGCGGTTACAGCTGCGGCGCACGCATCTATTCGAGGAGCGCGGTGGGCCAATCATGTACAGCTGGGGTGAAGGAGGGGAGACGGGGAGGGGCGTCGGAGGAAAATTAATGTGGAGCAGGATGTGGGGAGGAGGGGGATCTGGGAGGGGGATGAGGTGGAGTGAGAGTGGGAGCAGGCAGAGGATGAGGAGGCGAAAGCGCAGTGAGGAGATTACGATGGGCGGTGGCGACGACTACGGTGATTGTAAGTGTGGTAATGATGATGCGGATGATGCTGGTGATGATAATGAGGAGGAAGATGATGCTGATGATAATGATGATGTTGATGATGTCGTTGATGATGGTGCTGCTGATGACGGTGATGATTTTCAGATGATGATGTTGATGTTGTTTATGCAGATGATGTTGATGAGGGTGATGAGGATGAGGATGAGTGTGATTGTGTTATTGATGACGATGGTGATGTTGACGATGGTAAGGAATGGCGGCCGTGATGGTGACGATGATGATGGTGATGCTAATGATGCTGATGACGGTGATGCTGATCATGACGATGATGATGCCGATGATAATGCTGATGATGATTATGCTGCCGATGATGATGGTGATGCTGCTGCTGCTGATGATAATGCGAATGCTGATCATGATGATTATGATGATGATGATGATTTTGACCATGTTTGTGATCGTGGTTTCGAGCATGTTGATGATAATGATTATCTTGGTGATGATGATGATGATGATGATGATGATGATGATGATGATGATGATGATGATGATGATGATGATGATGATGATGATGATGATTATCATGGTTTTTAGGATGATGACGACAACGATTACGACAACGATGACGATATTGAAGGTGCTAGTTGTGGTGGCGGGGTGATGATGGTCGCAGCGCTCCGGCAGGTCGCCGATGGCCATTGATGTCCCCCCAGGCGGGACAGAACCCCCCATCCAACGGGAAGGCCCGAGCCCTGTGGAAGAACCGAGACCCCCCCTGGGTGTAGGAGGACCCCTGCAGAGGCCCGAGACCGGGAACCCAAGAGCGCGGCGACTGCAGCGAGGCCTCGCCTTTGCTCGAGGCGTCCGGGCGTGTGCGGAGGCCGCCACAGCGGGCTGGGTGCCGCTGCGTCGGATTTGGCCTCCGCCTCTGCGAGGCCTCGTGCAGGCCGCGCAGCAGCGCGAAAGCGCTCGGACGTTTGCTCCAAGGGCTACGCGTGCGAGGCACGCCGCTTCCACGCGCACTGCTCCACGGCCTCGCCGAGAGCCAGGACGCCGAGGAGGGCGGGCACTCGGAGCCCCAGCCTGGCGAAGTGCCAGCACTACAGGTGCCCTGGGAATTGCAAGTCCACGGGCTGGCGGAATGCGTGTGCCAGGCATCTCCGGCCCCTGGGCTGGCGAAAAAGCGCACGCCCCGGGTGCCAGGCCCCTGGGGCGGCACTTGGTCAATGGCGCCCTTTTCGGATGCAGCTCTTGCGAGGTTCAGTTATGCATTGGCGCTGATATATCCTGGGTCGAAAACCAGCCTAATCTGGCATAGTCCCGCTCAGTCTGGCTTACTCCTTTTGAATTCGGCTCAATCCCCGGCTTAATCCCGCCGGATCTGGCTCAACTGCTCCTGAAGTGTGCCCGCTCGCGCCTTCTTCGTTCTTACGGAGACCTCCCAGAAGCTGCCTCCCAAGCCCCTGGCCTCATCTGGGGGCACCTCCTTGGCGTTGCGGCAGCCGCTGAGGCAACAACGACCTGCAGGGGTCCATCGAGGACGCCATCTGTTGGATGGATCTCTCAAGCTCCCCGCCGCGTCAGCGCCACGCCAATTCCGCGCTTTCCTGTGGCTTTGCTGCGCTCCTGCTCTGAACGCACACCGCTTGAGGTGGTGGAGAGCTCGAGAGATCCATCCAACGAGCTGCGCGAGACCGCACGGCAGGCGCCGGACGCGGCCGAGCAGCTCGCGGCCGCAGCGGCGGCAGCATCTCCACGGCCTGCACACGTGGAGAGCTGCCCGCGGAGTCGCTCGGGCGCAGGTGCCGAGCTGCCCGCATGCTCCGCCCTCCTGCGCTCGTCGAGGCCTTGCGGGGCGCAGGGGCCCCCTCCAGGCAGCAGGCGCCGCCGGTGTGCGGCGGGGGCTCGGCTGCAGGCTGTGGCGGGGCGCAGGGTCTGTGTGCTTCGCTGCGCCCGAGGCCGCGGCTCCTGCACCGAAGGAGAAGCAACTCCGTGAAGATAAACTTTCGGAGCTCCGCACGGTTTTTGGGGATCGGCGTTGGGCCCCCCTGGCGGCGCCTCCAGCGCCGTCCCTGGCGCGCTCCGGGCGCCAGGCAGGGGGGTCCAGCGCAGATCCAAGAAATCCGCGCGGACCTTCAAAGTTTATGATTATGCGTTCTTGTTTTCTCTTACACAGTCAGAATGCTGTCATGCGGACCGCTCTGCGCCCAGCAGGGGCTCTGGTTTGCTGGGCCGGTCCTCAGACCTGGGTGGGGGGAGCCTCGTTATGGCCGAGGCTTGCCGCGGCCAGGAAGGCTGCTTCGCTCCTTGTTCAGTACACACTGTTCATGTCTAATTATTCGGAAGTTCTTTGATTTGGGAACCAAGATCTTTTCAATTCTAATTGTTCTACCCTGGGCCTCTTCCTGGCCACTAGGGGTCCAGGAACAATTTGAAACGAGCACGCTTAGAAGTGAGCACGATTAGAAATGAACGACGTGTGGCCTTCCTCATGGTAGCACAATGGCTGCAGGGCGATGGCCACAGAGTGGCTGGGCCTTGCAGAGTGCTCGCCGCGACTGGGCTGCGGAGCCTGGTCGGGCATCTCCAGCGTGCCGCAGTCGCCGAGGTCTGGATTCCTGCGAGCACCGTCGGAGTCACCGTCGTCACTTTCGGGTCTGGCTTTGAGCGGCTGGAGCCAACCTTTGCCGCGTTTGGTGTTCATGTGGCGAAAGGGGCGAGGGCGGACCTGCAGGTGAACGGTGAAGTGGGCGGGAGGCGGGAGAGGTAAGGGAGGGGACGAGGGATGAAGGAACGGAATTGACAAGGGAGGATAGCACAGGAGGTTTGCCCGCGCTGTTCTGTCGTTTCGGCTGCGTCGCAGTCGGTTGCATTCGATCGTTCGGTTCGGTCGGCTAGTGCGTCGTGACCGCATTGCTGCCTCCTTCGCGGCCGCTTCCGGTAGATTGGGCTCCAGTCGATTTCGGCTTCGCTGTCGGTTCGCTCGATTTTCTGTTGCTCTGCCGTCGTGGCTTGGGTGAAGGGAGGTCTTTAGCAGGAGCATGCGCAAAACAGCCCCAAGTTGGGCCAGAAGCAGCTATGCAGCCCGACCCAGGGGCAGGCGAGAGAGACGTAGCCCTGTGACGCACCCCTGGGAGCGGCTAGAAGAGGCGGTGTCTGGCTGGAGAGAAGGGGAGGCCGGAGGGAAATGGGAGGAGGGTGAGGAGGAGGAGGAGGAGGAGGAGGAGGAGGAGGAGGAGGAGGAGGCGGAAGAGGTTCGAACCGAATTCCGAAGACGACAGCGACAGCGACAGAAGGAGGTGTCAGAGAAAGGGGTCGGAGGAGGCGACTCCCCGCCCTCGCGCCGGCCCTCAATCCGCCGCTCTGCGCAGCGCCGCGCTTGGCGCCCGCCCATGGCGGCGGCCAGTTGCGGGCTTGCGGGCTCAGGCGGCGCCCTCCTCCTCCTTTTTTACACAGGTGGTGCTGACACGGTGGATCACAAGGTTCAACCCTCAGGCCCCCCGTGAACCCAAGGCCTTGTGGGCCTTGGCTGGAGACATGTCCTACAAGAGAAGCATGCGCCTTTGGATTTAATGTGACATTAGTCTAGTTTGGGGATCCCACCTTGTTAAGGCGTGTCAGTCAGTCAGTCAGTCAGTCTTCCTCATCCTCCTCTTCTTCCTGATCCATCTCTCTCCTCCCCCCCCCATCTCCAGGAGGAGGGCCAGTCGAGACAATGACGTCCCTGCCCTGTGTTTTTGTCTATTTTTGTGGCGCCCAGAGGCTTTCCGTCACCAGGACGGGATCCGCCTCAAGCCTGAGGCCTCCCCTCAGCGTATTTTTACGTGTCGAATTTCGACGCTCGACACCCTGCCGGCACAGGACCAAAGGTCAGCCAATACGAAGAGAACCTCGGGCTGGAGCCTTTACCTGGCAAAACGTGTCAAGATAGACCCTGGGTGGGAACCGGGGGGCCGATTTTGAATGGTTTTTTGCTGCCGCTGTGCCAAGTGGCCTTCCGATTCTCCTTACTGCTATTGCCGATCATCCTTGCCGACCTTTCTGCACTTAGCGCTTCTCCCGAGGTCTGCGCCGAGCGCCCGAAAGACGGTAGGCTCCTCTCGCCCATACTCCCGTCATCCGCGCCCTCCTCCCCATCGTCTTGCGACGGTGACGATCGAACCAACTCGCATTCGAGGCGTGCAAGAGGCGGCCCACTCTGACCACGGCAGCGGGCAGGCTCGCGAGAGCTTGGGTTGCTTTGGATGCTTTGAGGGTGTTTGGTGTACCTCCATGGCATGCTCCCTGCACGGCTGCCCTGCATGCAGCCTCCGCGCTGATCCTCCTCATCGCCCTGCGTTCGTCCGTTGGGAAGAGGCACGCAGTCCAGCGCTCTGTCTCCACTTTCCTCCGTGCGAATCTCTCCCCCAGCCCATTCGAAATCACTATTGCTAAGCGCCTTCAAGTTTGGGCGTTGCTCCCGTTGTTCGTGGGTGGCGCTGGAGAGTTTGAACCTGCCTCAGGCGGGTGGACGTCGAGCTACCGAATCTAGACTTGTGGCATCGTCACCTGCCTGATCGGATGTCCGTAGCCCCCGTCATCCGAGCCCGCTTCCTTCGTCCCGCTATTTCTTTCACGTGCCTTGGCATTGCCCCGGCACCGGATACATTAGCCAGGAATGCCCGCACTCGCGCGTTGATGCGATGCACCTTGGGTGTCCATGTGTATGAGAAGTCCAGCGCCGCTGTCACCCATGGGGACCAGCTCACGGACGTACAGCAGCGCGCAGCTCTCGCTTTCAGCCTCGCCCGCAAGTGACTGCTGGAGTCGGAAAGCTGGTTGCGCCGCAGCTACGGTTGGTCCATGCCCAGGTCTCATGTGTAAAAAACGCACTGCTTCCCGTCGCATCTCCAGATGTGCCTGCAGGTCGTCGTTGTCGCTTCGTCTGAGGCTTGAAAGGTCCCTCGGCCACACGGGGGGGGCGGAGTGCGGATGGCTTTGAACATTTTCTTCGTAAACGTTGCCAACACATATACGCACTGCCGTAATCAAGCAGTGCTCAGAAGCGTCCCGTGTGGAGGGCGGTTCCATCTCAAAATGAAGATGTCGTTTGAAGGTTTCTCGAACCGCGACACAAGCGTAATGGTGCATCCTGTCTTTTCAGACTGCTGCAAGGATGGCGCGTGGTTCAGTTGCAAAACTAGCGCTGTCGCCTGGATGGCCGGCGCCGTGGACGCTCGTCCTTTAGGCAGGGGTTGCTCCCAGTAGCGAACATGGATACTTACAGGGACTTTCATGACCGTGGGGCTTGGGACGGGAGGGTGTACCGCAGCATCGCTGATGCATTCGGAGCTTCCTCTGGTCATCCCACGAGCAGGCGCTGGTGGTTTGTCGGTCCGTACCCGCCCCCTCTCTCCTCATGGACCCGCTCCTCCTTCCCCAGATCCTCCCCTGTCACCTTTCTCCTCCTCCTCGTTCTTGCTTTCCCTTGCCCTCACCCGCCTCCTTCCGAGTCTCCTCCCTGTGCCCCGCCGTCCTCCTCCTCCTCCTCCTCCTCGGGCCCCGCAGCCACACTTGTAGCATGATTTGGGCTACTGCAGCAGAGAAGTGGTGACCGAGGACGATTGCTATGCCATATTCTGGAGCTTGCCCGTCTGTTCCTTCGATTCTGTATAACACCATCGCCCTCTCGACCCTTTCGTATCTCGCCCAACTGTTACCTATCCCTGCTATGATTCGCAAACTCGAACATCAGGCTGGGCACAAGCTCCTCTGGCTGCCGCCGAACAGCCTCAGTCTTGCTGATCTGAGCGCCCTGCCATCGTTGATCGCCATTGCCCCGTCCTCTCATTCGAGGTGCTTGGATGGGCTAGCAGCTGGCGCGCCTCATTCCGTACAATGAATCATACCTGGCAGCGTGCACTGCACAGCTAGAAAGAATATGCTCAAGACAGTGCTACGATAGTGCGCTTCATCGCAGGTGAATGCGCAACGCCCTGGTGGAATTTTTCGATTGCACAATTCATGGAGCGAGCGAGGCTTCCGCCCCCCTCTTCCCAGATAGGCACGGGTGGCACGCAGCGTTTCGTGCGGCGCGCGAGCACACCAAGCTAGCTCTGCAAGAGGCTCACCGCCCGCACCCACAACGCATCTTTGCACGCACGCTTCGAGCAGCCGCTCTTCCTGACTCGTTCCCTAAGACGCTGGGTCAACGGTTTCTCGCGTGGCAGGTCCCGACTCCAGGGTGGCTGGGGTCGGTGGTCGAACGGTGGGTTCTCTGTCGGACCTGCCTCGCGAGTCTCAAGCCTGCATGGCAATGGAGTGTTTTCAAGACCCTCTGCGGAGCGTGGACGACCACGCGCAGACTGCACATAGGCACCCCTTCCACGAGCTGCATCTGGGGCTGCACAGAGCCCGACGAGATTGCACTCTACCTGCGTTGCCCGAAAATCTATCACTATTTACCAATGCACCCTGCCTGGAGAAGGCGCCATTTTCCAGGCTCGCCGATTATTTTGTTGGGACTGGGGGCGGCGTAACGGGCGGGCGGAATAGGAACTCTCACGCGAAGAATGCCTGAAGGCGGTCGCCCTGGCATTCCACATGTAACACAAGGCGAACAACTTTGCTCAGAAGACACCAGCGTCTCTTCAGCGCGCATACGACATTCGAGGTGCTGTAGAGCTTGCTCTCGAGCGGCGAGATGGTCTCATCGAATTCGTGCTCTGTCTTTCTCTCTACTCTGTGGGTGGTGGTTTGATGCGGGTATTGGGGTGGGGGGGAAAGATCGAGGCACCGGAGGCGTCGGCATGTTGCGGTCGATGACTCTCCCGCAGTGCCCTGTGCTTTTCAGCTCTCGATTGAATCTGGTCTGCTTCGAGCGCCATCTTTTTGCGGGCTTTGCTGGTGGCGGAAGTGGCAAAAGGGTTGCGACGCCTCTCGGGAGGCCGAACATGAACCCAAGCGCCACCCAGCAGGAACCCACTCTCCCTCCGTCGATGCGCTCGCGTCTGCCGAGGTCGAGGCCGGCGGTCGGACGGACTTTCTTGGGTACGTCGTCTCCTCCTCCTTCTCCTCCTCCTCCCTCCTCTCCTCCTCCTCCTCCCTCCTCCCTCCTCCTCCTCCTCCTCCTTCTCCTCCTCCTCCTCCTCCTCTCCTCCCTCCTCCCTCCTCCTCCTCCTCCCCTCCTCCCTCCTCCTCCCCTCCTCCCTCCTCCTCCTCCTCCTCCTCCTCCTCCTCCTCCTCCTCCTCCTCCTCCTCCTCCTCCTCCTCCTCCTCCTTCTCTTCCTCCTCCTCCCCTTCCCCGTCCTCCTCCTCCTCCTCTTCCTTCCTCCCTGCTCCCGGCTCCCTGCCCCCTGCCCCCCTTTTTTCTCAGGATCATTTCCCCTGTGCCCCCTTCCTTCCTCTGGCACGCATGGCCCATCGTTGTTAATAAGTTCGACAGGCAGGATGGCACTGCTGGGGCGCGCGCCATCCGTGGCTTGTTATTGCGCTCCTGATTGATTTGCATATCTCTTTTTCCTTCTTCTTTTTTTTCTTCTTCTTCCTGCCTTGTTCATCCCGTGTTCATCCCGCTAACGGTGGCGTTAAGTGTGTTCTCGCGTCCTCGGTCCCAGGCGGGCTGTGGGCGGCGGGGGATGGCGGCGGCCGCAGAATGCGCTGCGTCGGAGGAGGCGTCCGAACCCGAGGCGGCGGCGCTGGGCCCCGAGGCGGAGGAGGCGCCTGGTCCCGCCGAGGTTCCCGGCGGGGCGCCAAGTGCCCAGAGCTCCAGCTCCAGTGCTGTCCACGCAGGGGGTGGCTTGTTTGGGGGATCGCCATTTCCTCCCCCCCCCCCTCGTCTTCCTCGCCCTTTTCCTCCTCCACCTCCTTTTGCTTCTCCTGCTCCTTCTCCTTTTTTCCTTCTCCTCCTCCTCCTCCTCCTCCTTCTGCTCCTCCTTCTCTTCCTCCTCTCCCCCATTTCCTACGCCCTCCTCCCTCCCCCCTCCCTCCTCCGTCCTCCCTCACTCTTTCCCTCCTGCCTAAGCCTCGTTCCTTCCCTCCTCCCCATTTTCCTTCACCTCGTCCTCCTCCTCCACCTCCTCCGCCTCCTCCTCCTCCTCCTCCTCTTCCTCCTCCCCCCTCCTCCTCCTCGCCTCCCTCCTCTTCCTCCTCCTCCTTCTCCTCTCCCCCCTCCCCCGTTGCCATGTTGGCCCAAGTTTGCAGCAGCGTGCGTGAGAGCGGGCACCTTCTGAAGAGGCTTTCTAGTGCGTCGGGCGCCACCAGACAATCTTGATACTTCGACACAACCTGCGACGCCGCCATGGCCGCCCGCGGGCGGACTGCTGCCGACCCAGGCTTCGAGTTGGCTGGCGAGTCCGAGAAGGAGGACGACCACGGCAGGAAGAGTCGCAGCAGTGAGCGCAATGTTGAAAGGCGTGCTCCACCTCGCGAGTTGAATGACGCCCTGCAGACAAGGGATCCCTGGCGTGGGGCAGCTGCTGCTAGCGACCCACTTGCCCTTGCCGCAGCCGCCCCTCCCGCTGGGGAGGCATGTGGTCGAACGGCACATCGCTGCCTTCTCTTCCAAAGTGCACGAATACATGGAAAACAATTTCGCTGACACCATGGAGTTCGTACGCTCCGAGGTCAGCACCATGTTCGACTCCAAGATCGCGCCCCACGCCGCGCGGCTCGACAAACAGGAGGCGGAGTTGGCGCGGACCAAAGCAAACAACGGGGACCTGGAGAAGTAGCAGGCTGGACTGCAGGCCGCCGTCAAGGAACTGCAGTCCATGTTGGCGGTGGCGGAGGCGCAGCACTCCGAGCCCATCGGCCCTGCCAAGCTTGCCCAGTGGAACAGACCCACCGACCCTGCCTTGTTCGCGCTCTCATGCGACGCCCCCGCTTCCCCTGGGGACGTCATGGCCGCTCTCGCCGAATGGCTCCAGACCGCAAGCGTCGCAACCAATTACGTCAAGCTCATCGGCGACGTCCCGCAGAAACGCTTCCACCTACACTGCCCAGGAGGTACCGCTGGCGTCGCATTGGCAGCAGCCCTACAGACGGCCCTCAAACGACCTGACGGGACATGGCGCAAATTCAACGTCTCAGCGATCAATGGCCAGCGAATCGCCATGTACGTCAATGGGGACAAGAATGGGAAAGACATCCGGCGCCATGTTCAGACGAAGCTGCTCGGCCTGGTCAAGGCAGCTGCGGTGGGCTCGGAGTGCTGGGCCCGTAGACCAGGTCTCGTCTACGTGCGGAGGCCCCGACTGCGGAGGTCCAGGTGCAAGGGCCTGACGAGCCCAGCAAGGTGGAAAGGGACGTCCCAGCGGCGACACGAGCGGGCGTCGAATGGCAGGATATCGCAAAGAGCTTCCAGCAGCTTTGGCGCGAGGTGGACACATCGGGATGTAGCCGGAGATGGGCCCCGTGGGAGCTCGACTCCTCCTCCCGGGGTCTCGCGGTGGTGACGTGGAATGCCCGCGGTCTTCTTATCCGCAGAGACGCCAGCAGGAGGCGCCAGAAGGTCGACATGGTGGTGGAGGTGCCAGGAAGGCAGGGGCTTCTCCGCCAGCGCTGCGCGGCGCTGCTGCAGGGGGTCCAGCGGCCGCGAAGAAACCCTCCGCAACTACCTCAAACAGTGCGACATTCATTTTAAGATGTACCACTCGACTACGGATCGACCTGGCGCGGGCGTGGTCGCCCTCCTCAGTCCTCGGCGCGACCCCGGCGCAGTGGCGTCTGCTAGCGCTGGCGCCCTGCCCAGCATTCGCCACCGAACGTTGGAGAGAGGCCGCGCAGCGATTTCCGCGATTGAGCACCTGGGCTCGGAGTGCACCATCAAAACTATGAACGCGCACAATTTCGATACCTCGACCGAGGGGAAGGCGCGGGCCCGTCGGGCTTGGAGGGATGCGGCTCTCTGGGCCCATGGGTACCTCCTTTCTAAGGACCTTCGTCGCTGCGGGTGACTTCAACGCGGCGGATGCCCCTTCGGAGCCACTGCTGCGCCCGCCCCCCCGGCAAGCACGGGGGTCTGATGCGCGGGGAGGGGGGGGGGGGGGGGGGGGGGGGGGGGCAGCCGCGCCGAGCCCATCTGGCGGCGCTTGTTCAACGCATCCCCGCATGCACGAGATCTCCTCTCTCTCGCCAACGCACTTCGCGAAGGACGCGGGGGCGCTGCGGACCATCGACAGATACTTCGCCTCGCTCGAGTCGTCGTTCGCGGTGGGGGCCGAGCGCGACGCGCAGGTGATCCACGACGCCGCCGCAATGGACGCAAAGAGAAGCAGCGACCTTGCGATCCTCAGGTTTCGGATGCAAGCAAGGTCGCCTACGCCGCCGCAGGATCGGACAATCCCGCCCTTCATCTTTAAGAACGCCGAGTACAGAGACATCTTGGCGCGGTGCCTCGAGGGCTGCTGCTTCGAGTTCAAGCCTATCCACGAGCAGTGGGCCGTCGCGAAGAGCACGATGGCGCTGGCCGCGGATGCGGCGCGCAACGAGCTTCAGTCCAAGGACATCATTTACGACGCGGAAATTGGAAAGCTGGCCAAGCTACTGACGCTCAACTCGGTTGCGAGAGAAGTATGGCGCCATGATGTTCGGCTCGCCAGGTGCTTCATCGACGGCGCGGCCGTGGGCGCCGCGGAACTCGACGCCCATGGCGCCCGCGTCTACCTCCTGCACCCCGACGGCTTCCGCGAGAGGGTGAAGGGGGCCCTGGCCGCCATGTTGGAGAGGGGCGCGGCCGCCTTATCGGGCAGGCGCCGCGAGCGGCCACCCCGGCGCTGCGCAGAGGTCATGATCAGGTGCTCCTTTGGAACCCCGCCAGACGGGCGCCGGCGCTGGCGGGCCTCCGACATGCGCGACCGCAAGGAGGGAGCAGCGCGGAAGAAATCGTCGCGCGGGACCCTTCGGCCATGTTCGCGGAGCTAAATGCGCGCTGGCAGCCTGCGTCCACCGCGATGCCCGTCGAGGAGCATCTGATTGGCCCTTCTCTAGATAGACGCATGTCCAGTTTTGACAACTCGCGCCTCCCTCCCCCCTCACTTTCTGATCTTCGCCTTCCAGAATGCGCTCGACACTGTCCCGGGGCCAGACCGGCCCCCGGCTAGAATATGGCGCGGCTGCCCTATCCTTGCTGAGGTTCTGCGCGAGGTCTTCTGCCGCGTGGCCGATGGGAATCACCCGCCGTCGCATTTTAATGTTTCTCTGCTTGCGTTCGCCCCTGAGGGCGAGGAAGCAGCGGGCCTCGTCGACCGCGCCCGGGCCCCGGCGCGCGCTGCCGCACTGCCCGGCTGCGCACTGCCGCGGCCGCAGCAGCAATGCCCATTTGTCGCGCGCGGTCGCCAAAGACGCCCGCGAAGCCCAGGAAGGGTTTGTCCCGGGAGCGAACTTTGGCGAGCACATCTACGCACTCGACGCCGAGCGCCGGCGCGCTGGCCCCCCCCCCCCCGGCGCAGACAAAAGGCCAGCTGTTTTCCTGAGTTTCGATGCCAAGGCTGCTTACTGAGCATGTCCCAATTCTTCCATCGTCGTGCCGTCGAGCGCTTCTCCCCCCCGGCCTTCTGCGCGCGCGTGCTCGGAGTGCTTGCCCAGGAAACGGTGGGGTGCGCTTGGGTTGGAGCGGCCCTCCTGCCTCTCTTCCCCCTCTCATCAGGCTTCCCGCATGCGCGCCCTCTTTCGGGGCCCCCCCGGGCCTTGGGGTCCGACCCGTGGGCCAGGTGCCTGTGCGAGGCTTTTCCGTCGGATGATGAGGGGGCCCTTGGGGCGTGTGCCGACGACGCAGGGGTAGCTGCTTTGGCCATCTCTCGCTCGCCGCATCCTCGCGCCACGTTTCAGCGAGCTGAGGCGCTCGCGGCGCTCCAACCCCAGCCAGCGCGGCGCGTTTTATTCCCCTGTGGGCGCCGCGCGATGAGCGCCGAGCGCCCCCGGGCCGAAGCGAGGGAAGCGCTCGCCCAGCGCGCGCCGGGATGGGGGGGATTTCGGATCGAAGGCGCGACGCAATATTTAGGAGTGATGATTTGTCCACTGGCAGGGCTCGAGGCTCAGTGGGAGGGCCCCGGACAAAAATGGCGGGTTTGATGTCGTGAAGATGCCTTGTCCAGGGCCCCAGCTGAAGCTTCCATTCGTCTCAACCTCATGGTCATCCCCCCTTGCCTCTCGCACGCTGCGCAGTTTCCCCCCCCTGGCCCCGGCCTTCATGCCGGAGAGGGGCTGGCACTGCGCGAACTGCTTCGGCTTCTGCCGACTTGGTCCCGCACTGCAGCTGCTGGGGGCTGGGCGGTGGACGACCTGCGCTGCGCCCTTGCCGATCGACGCCACCTGCGCGGCGATTGCTTGGCGCGCCAGCTGCTATGCTTTCCGGGGGCGGCGGAGGCGCGGGGGGGGGCGTCGGGCGGTCGCGCGTAATTGCGGGCGCATCGCCGACTGCGCTCGCCTCGAGTTGTCGCCGCGACTTTGGCAGCGACGCCATGCGATAGCGCGGCGCTATCTTTCATTCGGCCTCCCGCCCACCAGCGGCAGGATCCCGAGGTCGGCCGCCCAGGCGGCAGTCGCTGCTGCGACTTCGGCGCCGGCTGGGCGTGGCCGGCGCGCCGCTTCGATAGCGGATGGGCCGGCGCGCCCGTCGACTCCGGCAGCGGTGGGCGCGTTGTTTGCGGTGCTGGGGGGGCGGGGCCCGCGCCCTCAGTCCCTCTTCCTCCGCTCTCTGTGCTCCTCTCCTTGCCCTGGCGCCATCCCAGCTCTG